CCTATATTTGACGTCCCCTATATTTAACTTCGCATTATCAAAGGTTAGTTCTCATTATTATTGGGCATGACAGACAAAGAGCCCTTCTATTGGCATTTTGCTGCATTCATATAAAGTGGTATCTTTTCACCGGTTATATAGGAAGTCTGTGGATACACTTTCGAGACATAGTATCCACTGCAGAAATTTTCCAAACATTATTTATTTCTGTAAAATAACTGAAATGCGTAATCAATCCACTTTTTTTATGTACACTTCATGCAACTCCCTTGAAAGGCTCGAATAGCATTCGGGTGATCAGCGATCCGATACCGATAGATTCACCCAGTTGTCATGATTCATTTCGTAGAGAGGATCAGGAAAAGGAATAAACTTTATTGTCGCAGGCCAGCAGGTTTAGGTGGCGGGCTAGACGTCCCATGAAAGGACGTCAAGGGCTTGCCTCGACGCCACCTAGCACGCAAGCTGGGTGACCCAGGTTTGGTCGTCGAAAATACAGACACGCCAACACCACGACCCTTTTGTAGAAGCTTCGTGGAGATGCCCAGAATTTAAGACCTTCGTAAAAACCGCGCATAGACATAACTGAATATTTCCGAAACCTTAAGGCTGTCTATTCAAAAGTTTCACAGTTTTCCCGCTTATAAGTGGCGTGTTAACTCAACGAGAGAGGCATTTGCTTAAAGGGGGCAAAAGAGAGTTGTAGGGTTTATTCTTTAGAACTTTTTTGTGTTCTCGCCACACTCTAAATAAAAATGCTGGAAGAATCGAAGGTCTAACAAAAAAAAAGCATGAAGGCTTTTCAGCCAAGATAGCCTTGCAGTGTATTACACCATTGGTTTTTCTCATGGTCAACAGACGACCACTGCCCAAATGTCAGTACGTAAAGATGTTCCTGTTCGGACTGCTTTTTGTTTTCCTCTCGTAGGGTACGAAGTACTCTTAGATCTTAAAAAAATTTTCTGAACACACAACTTATTTTTCTTGTTTTTTTTTTATGAACAATTACGTATGCAATAAAATTTCTCTTGTTGAACTACTAGGTCACCAAACTTGTTTTACTATGACAACTTTTTACACACTCGGCTCAGTTTTGCCGTCGCCATGTGTCTCCACCGTGGTGCTCTATCTTCTCCCTCTTCTCTCTCTTTCTCTTCTCTCTCTCTCTTTATATAGATATATATATATATATATATATATATATATATATATTATATATATTATAATACTATATATATATAATATATATATCTCACAACAATAATCCAGGAATGTAACGGAAAGTTCTTAGAACCAGTGTAATCTAAGTAAGAAGAAAAAAAAGTGGGTGAAAAATAACTTGGCGTGAGCAGGAATCGAACCTACGACCTTCGAGTAACGCGTTCGATTGAATGCCACAACTGGCAAAAAGCTAAAACTAACGAAATAAATGCACTCATCCAGAAGTTCTACAAACAAGCGATAGGAATACATGAGTATGCTAGCACAGACCTTTTTCTTCAGCTGGACTACACAATTCGCTTGAAAATATCATAGAAGCTCAGCGCACATTCCAGCTTGAAAGGCTGACCTAAAACTAAAACAGGAAGAAATAGATGAATAGATTAGGAATCTTGTACCATACACAACAATGTGTCAAACATGACATCCCGAATACAATCAGAGCTAAGATCGTCTCTAACCTGATACCGAAAAACATGAATCCATTATCAACACGGACCGTAGAAAACACCGAGCAAAAGGACACTGCTCAAAGCTCAGGGCACAAAAAGTGAATCTCTTTTTGTATATGCTAGCCCATACCCTGAACGAAAAACTCACACTGCTGTCGTGATTGACACGTCCCGCATTTGTAATATTGCGTGCTGTGTCATAACAAACAATATAGAGGAGGCTGAGGATGTAGCCATAACCATGGTTATCATTTCCAACAAACACTCATTCATACTGAGCGATTCGCAAGTAGGAATCAGAAATTTTACGCAAGGGCGGATTTCACAGCAAGCCATTAGAATCCTCGTGAATAACCAAGAACTACACAAAGTAGATGAACCCAAATACCTCGTATATTTCTCGGCACACACAGAGACTGATACATCCAATCCTCACGAGCTGGCTCATGAGTTGTCGCGAGAATTAACCCGCCGCGCTAGCCGATCGCACCGCTCGGTGATCATCCCTGGCGCCGCCGACGTACCACACAAAGACCGATTTACAAGCTACACAGAATACACGCAACACTACAGAGAAGCAAGGCCTGTCTTTTCCGCACCTCACCCGAGTCTGAACAGGTAAGAAGCGTCGGAATACCGGCAGCTACAGATGAACTGCTGCTCGAACATTCATGACTTCTTTACGCATTTCTTGTGCACAGGGCCCTTTTCAGTGTATGCGCAAAGAAGTCATGAATGAGTACCAACTCGCCCAACTTTCAGTACTGTTGCTACTCGAACCCTGCAGTGTGCACCTCCACAGGAGCCACCCATACTTATACCCGGACAATAAATGTAAGCTATGTGTAACAGAAAAGGCGGCTTACAAACATATAATATGGGAATGCCCCAACTTGTCAACAAGTTCTCCTGAGGTCCTCCAGGAGCAGTGGCAGCTTGTGCTGCTCAGCTCGGAGGTTCAAGACCAAGAATGGGCTATCCAGCAAGCCAGGGAGGCTGTACAAAGACAAGGTTTCCGGGTACCTCCTTGTGTGGTCTAGCCCGGACCACAAACATGCCGGATGCGAAAATAAAGTTTATTCATCTTTGTTCCAGAACAACTTCACTGTTGTCTACCTGAGGGACCAGAGCTTTGTGAAGCAGATGAAAGTTCGTTCGGATTTGTTATCCAGTTCTTCCTTTTTTACCTTCTGTATATATATATATATATATATATATATAGATATATCACTGAATGCATCATTCAATCAATCAATCAAACTCTTTTATTGCACCCTTTCATATAGAAGGTGAAAAAGGAAGAACTGGAAAAAAAATCCGGACGTTCATCTGCTCGACAAAGTTCCGGTCCTCAGGCAGACAATGGTGAAGTTGTTCTAGCACAAGAATAACAAAATTATGTTACACGTGCATAATAGTGGGGTAAAATGGTACATAGCATTTCATTTGTATATGAATACCATAGGAATTAAAATGTAAGGAATAAATTTATTAACAAGCATATGGAAACTGCAGAGTTAAACCGAAAGACAAGGCACACAAGCGCAATGTCACCGAGAATGTGTATATGCTGGCATATAGCAATATACCTATGAAATTTTTTCTTCCTAAGAGAGGGAAAAAGGGTTAGTGAAAGAAAGAGCGGTGGTGGAAGCAGTAGGTATTCCGTAAGTGCTGTCAATTTATCATGCTACAGTGTGCCGATTCTGAGTGCACCAGCGTCACAAATATATTGCCCATTACTGCAACCTCATTTTCGTAATATAGATGCAACATTTCACCTTTTTTTCAGTCAACATGCTTATATTTGCGACAATGATGGTACAGGGGTTTCCGTGCTAAGATGCTAACCCGAAAGACGCGGGTTCGATCCCGTATGCGTAGCTACATTTCAATGGCGGCTAAATGCTTGAGCCACTTGTATACGAAGGTTTAGGTTAGAGAAAAGAAACTGCATATGAAAAAAAGTTTTGATGTTCTCCAATACGGCACACCTTAAATTCAGATTGTGAATACAGCAAGTAATATACTAATAAATATTATTTTTATTAGAATGCTGCCACTGTGAACACCTCGGGGCACTAATTTGTTACGTTCTGTACTATTGGTTGTATTCAGTAACAAGTACACGTGACTAAGTGGCACTGATGTTTGTAGCAAAGTGAAATTGTAGTCGTTTTGTGGCAAAACGATTGCGATCTGCAATTTTCATATGAGTGCATATGAAGAAAACAGCTTTAGAAAAAAAGAAAACATGAGAGACACAACTATATTGTTTTGTGTGTTTGAATTTTCAATTTTGAAAGAGATTTAGCGGTCTTAACTTTCACTGGTATGATAGGCAAGCGCTTTTTCATAACTTCCTGTCTCCTACAATGTCCCAGAAATATTTTCCCGACATTTTGCTGCCTGAAATTGCGGCAATATTTTCAATTTTAAAGACCTTTCGCGTGCCAATACAAAAAAGAAGGAACGAATATCTGCAGCTACGGCACTAAACACACAATATTAACACATTTTTCGTGGACGGAAAATATTCTTGGTACAACTACTTGATATTGAAGAGATTATTTTAATAAACACTTCTCAAAAAAGAAATTTACTACATAGTCATTAGCGATATTTACGCTACTCAACCCCCCCCCCCCCCCCCATTTTGAGGAACATTGTTGTGGACGAGTACAGGTAATTTCGACTAAAAGGACTTCTTTCACAGCTACCAAAACGTAAGTCTGCTTTTGCTTTTGGGGAAGTTTAACCCACTTCCTTTGGCATATCGTCACAATATGAAAACAGCTGCGTTACCATTGTGTGTTTATTTGAAGTTTGTAAAAATCACAACTTTTGCTTGTAGTTTCAGTCTAGTCAGTATTATTTATTGAAGCCTTATTCTGCACCCTAATGGCGTATTATGACTGAACAGGCTATAACTATTGTGCCTAAAAAATCACAAAGAAGTCACAATTTTAGACGCACCAGACGCAGGAAACATGGCCACATCGGCCTTGGCACATCGGCCTGTACAGCATGACAAATATTTTCATTTGCCTGTTTTTTAAACTCTGGTACTTAGAACAGTGATGCATAGGTGCGCTCGAAGTGCAACCGTACATCATTCGAACAAACACCTGTCTTTGCATGATACGCTTGCACAGAAACGAGCCAATAATATCACAGCAACAGCAATATTTCATTTTCTGCCATTTGTCTCACTATCCTTGCAATTATAATGGTGGAATGTTACTATGACGTCAGCAAAGTGACGCCCATCTTCTGCAGTTTTCCTGTGCAAAACAGTTTAAATACGCTCACACTGATGGCTACACTACAAGTTTCTCTTGATCACCGTGAAGACGAGCGACAGTTAGTACGACCTAATCTGTTTTATCTATATGCGAGGTCTTCCAGCTCTTTTAAGTGCATTATTCTGGAGTTAGAGATATCATAAACGAATCTAAGCTTCTGCCATGAAATCACCTGTACTAAATTAGCCAGCCACTTGCTATTATCGACCAGGTGCACCTATTTGAAGTGCTGAAATTTAAACTTGTCAGAGGAAAACCTAAGTGACGGTAATGATGTTCCTTATCACTCGATGTGTACAGCCTGAACATTTGGAAGAGCACACTGGTTGTAGCTGTGTCCGAAAGCATTATTCAGTCAACTTGTAAAAGTCAGTACAGCTGCACATCTCCAATTTTGTTTTTACAGATCTCCTCCGGACCCAATGATGAATGCCAAAGCCATGCTGATTGCTCTCGTGGCTTGCGCCTTATTAGTAGCCGGTGAGTGTGACTTTTTAAAATCTTGATTCAAGCTAGACTGCTGAAGTATGCGTACGCGTGACAAGTAAAACATGATGTTCATGTGGTCGCCTAAACAATGCCTCTTTAATGCGCATACCATAGGCACAAGATTTAGTGAAGTAAACTAGTTATGTAGGGGGTCTCACTTAAATGAAAAGCCAAAATTTTTCAAGTATAGAATCCTTTTATTTTGGAATAATAGGAAAAAAATGCTACATGAAAATTGTCTCAATACACCAAATGCACAATAATAAATAATTATATACGACTAATAGTCATAGAAACATTGCGACTTGACTCATTACTACCAGAATTTCACCAATTAGTTTCGTCGATCATATTTGTTAAAAGCTTCGCAACCTTCGGCTAGCTAATTGTGCCATTGATAATACTTTGCTGCACATTGGTACACAAGCAGACACTACTACTCTGCGGAAGTCATTTTATTATCACTTGCAGTATTTTCTTATGCGTGTGTTTTTTTTTTTCAAACCCAGGCACCGAGGCGTGTGGTGGCGAAGGCCGCTCCGAGTCCGGTCGCTGCGGTGGCAGCGAAGGGCGCAGCGAGCACGGGGCAAGCCGAGGCACGCCAGGAGAGCGAGACTGCCCGCTGTGGTGGAAGTTCTGGTCGTTGCGATGGCTAGTCATGCTACAAAAAACTTCATCAACACGCCATCGCGGCTGTTTGCTGCAGAAATTGCTTTTGAAGCAAGAGCCATCTTGAGCATGAGAGCTTGGAACTTTTGTTTGACCTATTAAAGATCTTCAATCTTGCATGTCTTCGATTCTCCCGTGGTATGTGACTGATATCTACATACATTTTTGTCTTGTTTCATTGCGTGAGTTATGCATCACCGCTGTTCGAAGCAAATATTTATGGTGCCTGAATAGCAAGCCAGTTTTTTAAGAAGTTCAATCTTATTTCATCTATTGACATTCCGAAATTGAAGCTGAGCCTTTTCCATGAGGATGCTTTGACCTAAAAGGACTTGGTTTGCAACGTACAAGCAGCCTGACAGCAGCACTGGACAAGCTTGACTACATGTCGCCTAATAACAAAGGCCTGAGCCTTAAGTGTCTTATTGCTTATTGCAAACACCTCAAGTACCACTGTGTAGAGCCTCTCACAATAGCATTTGAGGAGAGTGACGTTAAACAACTGGCGTGCATCCGCGTTTACTACATTGTGATGCCATATTGCTTCCAACAGCTCTTTCTAAAAAATAGCATGTTCTCGTAACCGATCACTGATGAACAGCCAAATCTGTCCCACGTTCACCTTTTTGCTTAAGCAACTCATTTGACAAGTGATTTGCAAGTCTTTCAATTGGTGAAGGGTTTTATGTGTAAGTTGGAACACGTCTAATGACTTTTTTCTTGTGCCTTCACGAGGCGACACAAGCGCCCAGGTAATGGGTGCATGCAGAGAACACTAGAAAAACCTTGCGCATGCATCCACCTTTTTGATGCGATGTTGCACAACGTGGACCTTAGGTATGTTTGCAACATTATGAATTACTACCATATTTTTTGAACAACTCGTTCATGCCCTCCGCCAGTACCATTTTTCGCAAACGAGCATAGTAGATGTCTTGAGTGACTGGCGGCTGTCATTGTCTCAATTCAGCTTGAAAAATTGGAATAAACCTTGTATGGTTACGAACTCAATAATTAACTTATCCTGGCGGACTAGACAATGCCTGTATTTGGCATCTTTATATCAGCTGACTCAAAGCAAAGATTCAGATGAGCTGACTCAAAGCAAAGATGGAGCGGGGCAAAGATTCTCGAGAAAGATAGTCAGGTCGCAAAGAAACAAGTAACAAGCAGTGCATGCAGTATTCTCAGATCCCACCAAAATCAAGTTACACGTTGTTGTAGCAACACAAAAAGCCCTTCCCAAGTTGTGTGACTGACTTCGTTCATGAGATTTGACGTTCGTGTGGATACAAATTATGTGGGACAGGTTGTGTGGTGCACTAATGTCAATGGTCGGTTGCGTGGAAATTCAAATTCTTTGAAAATGTGCGTTGGAAGTAATCTTGCAGTATATTGTGCAAGGTACGAATGCACCGCCAGCCTGTCTGACGTCACACTGTTAAACGCTATCGTGACAGGCGCGCTAAAGCGATGTTGAGGCATATGTTATCAGCCAGAAAAGGATGCGTGTGTAATAGTACAGTTTTTTATGTCTATTACACAGCGAAATGTGGTTCCTGACCTAACAGCTATGATTGAATGTTTTACCAAGTTTTTGTTCATGCCTTTTTTATGTATGTATGCTTGTTCGTTTCAATAAATATTCCCCGGCAGTCAACGCCAAGCAACCCACGCGTGTGTCCTTTGCTTCATACCTGTATCTTCGGTGCTTTTTTCTTTCGTAAAAATAAAGATGCTTCGTAAGGCCAAAGGTGAGATGAAATCACCAACAACCACCAAGTGGTCCATTTCATCGCTGTGCCCTTATAAAGTGTGGACTTTCTTTCAAAGGATCATTCAACACATGGAAGCATTGTTACTACCGAGTTGACATTGCTAATGAATTGTGAAAATTGCTGAGAAAGCACACTGTCGCGCGTAAGTTATTACCACTGTATAGTTATTGAAGGCTTCACAATGAAGTATATTATGAAAAGGTGTAGGCGAAGCCATGCCAGGGTGCCAGCGTGTCTGTAAACACGTTTAACAAAATATAGACGAGGTGTCTTTGCTGTGCTGGCTAACATTCCTAGCATTGAAGTATCAACGACATGCCTAAGCCGGCTTCGAATTTCCACCAGCCCTCCACAGTTTTCCAGAGCTCCACCTTCAGTTTCTTCTTTCAAAACAAATGAAGATAAAGAACTCCCATCATTCACATATGTCTGAAATCAAGTTTAGATCTCATGTCATTCCCCTGAGTCTGATTGATGATCCAATTAGACGAGATGGATATCTCTTGTCAAGGTGTTCATGGCTGGCAGGTAGGCGACTGCCAAGGTTGAGCAGCATTCCTTTATTTCAGCATTCGACACGTTATTTGTCCGCTTGCAGTTCGATAAGCTGGTAGGCGCGTTGCGAGTAGGTATTTACGGAAGGCATCACCGTAAGCTGACACGGCTGGGCATTGACACCGTATTAAGCAACGTCATGGGGCAGCTGCGAACACTGGAGCCACCAGCGTTACAACACCGCCGACATCGCAGTCGTGCCAGAACTCTTTCGACTTCTCGCATCCGATCTTCGGGGACATAACGCTGCCGGTCATCACACGTATGCCTTCACCTGTTCATATCTTCGAGCTTTCTCTCTGTAGTTCGGTTGTGTTAGTTTGTGTAGTTGTAATAGTCTTTCTCGTAAGCTGATTATTGTCTCTATTATATATTCTTTAGTTGTATCAAGTGTCGATGTATTTTGTTAGTTGTATTGAAGGTTGTATTAGATCCCGTGTGCTGCAATATCACTAGAGTAAAGTTTGTTTTGTTTTCTCACGTCTCTGATCTCTTCACTGTCTCTGCTTGCGTACGGAACTTTCTCACGTCTCTGATCTCTTCACTGTCTCTGCTTGCGTACGGAACGAACCAACCTGCTGTCATTCCCGTCGCCGACTTCGCGCTGGCGACGCTAGAGTGGCAGCTTGTAACAAAACTGGCGTCCGCGAGACAGGACGTTCCGTACAAGAGTAAGACAGTGAGGGGTGAACGAGAACCGTGCGGACAGCGTTGGGATAGAGCCGCACAGTTGAAGCGGTTGCATCCTGCAATGATTGCGCTGTTTTTATAGTGACATTATAGTGACAGTTGCAGTATGGAGTGCATGTGCATGGATTTTGATAAGTGGATCGCGTACGGTAAACAGTTAGGCCTCGAGGGCGCCGAACTGAGAAAATGAATTAAGGAGCAGCAGGAACCGGCGCAGGCCAGAGAAAAGCGGGCACTGGCCCGAGAGGAGAAAGAAAGGGAGAGAGAACGCGAAGAAAAGGAAAGAGAGCGCAAAGAAAGGGCGAAAGAACGAGAAGTGGCAAGGGAAGCGGCAAGGGAAGCGGCAAGGGAAGCCAGAGAACGGGAAATGCAGTTACTGCAATTAAAGATTCGCCTCAGTGAGGGTAGCAGGGTGAGCCGATCCGCAGTGAGCACGGCGTTGCCGGCGAGGAACTGTCAGTTGAGGCGAGACACATGGTGTCAAGGGCTACTCACGGTTCTGCCTTGCGAGGGCAAATGAAGCTGTTGCGCGACTCAGTCAGCAGAACGCGAACAACTACGAGGTAGTTAAGGCAGAAATGTTCTGGATATTCGGAACTTCTATCTGGACAAAAGAAGAGCAGCTCAGACAAGAGTCTGAAAGAAAGCGCGAAACAGAAAGACAACAGTCTGAAAGCGAGGCGCGTCGGAAAGCGCTGAACGTTAAAGTGTGGCAGGAAGCGCTAGAACTAGAGATCGCGCAGAAAAGGGCCCGCGTATTCTAGAATGCGTCAAGGTAGAGTATGCTGAGAGCGAGGCCTTGGTTGGTTTGGAGGTAGAGACGATGTCGAAAGACGCTCCTTGCGTGGATGAGGAGAGTGCCAGCAGCCCTTATGGGCCCAGTAAGAGGCTGGAAACCTCCTTCGTGCCTCAAGAGGACGTTTCGACCATCGTCAAATGTTGACATGATTAGCACAGTGGCGAATCAGAGTGAGGACGCGACGCTTCAGGAATGCAGCGATGCCGTCGGAGAGGGCCCAGTTAATGGCTTCATCAGTGTTGACAAAGCCAATTTGGCCCGACAGTTCGTCATGACGCAGAGTTCAAAAAGCGTTATCGGGAGGGAGACCTAGCACCAGCCCCAACGAGCTTCCCAACTTCTGAGGTCCCGAAGCGACATGATGATGACATCGAGAGAAAGGGGGCAAGCAAATATCGCCGAAAACGAAAGAAGCGGAAGCGCACCGCACTGTGTAAGCCTAGGGCAGATCCCACTCCATCTCGAGAAAGACGAAAGGCTAGGCCATTCATCCGTTTCAAGAAACGTCAATGGTGGCGTTCATGGAGGCACAAGCAGCGAGCCAGGTGTGGATGGCGAAAGAGAGGTGCGTCACCCGAACGAAACGCGCGGTTCATTTCGACGACTTCGGGAAAGCGGCCTTGCCCGAAGGTTCAAAGTCGAAAAGGCACAACGGCTAAGTACTGCGTGGGGGCGACCACAAAGACACAATTATCCAGGCTTCTCCCCTGTTTCTGGCGTCCCTTGCACATTCCTGAGGGGAGCCGGCCGAAATGCAGAATGAGGCGTGACAGCAGGACACAGCGTGGCGTTTCGTTCTTTTTGTAACCTCTGGCGTGCTCGAAAGCCGCCGGGAACGCGACCCATCGTGTGCGATTCAAGCGAATCTAATAGAGAAAGTGGGGCACGGTTTTAGTCATAAACCAGTGCAAGTGTTGTTGGCTTTCTGTTGGAGACGATTGATCAAGTGATCATATAAGCAAAACAGTAAATTTTTCAAAGGTTGAGGCGAACTAAGGGTATTTTGGCCACAGCGTAGGCCAAAGTTTCAGAAAGCTGGATAGCTTAGTGTTTCAGTAGTAGACAAATATTTGGCGGCCGTAAACAAAGACAGACCACCAGCCT